GGTCTATTAATTAACGTTGTTATCTTTTTAGATAAGGGTTAGTAAGTTACCTTTGTGTTTATAGGCGCTTAGGGTGCACTAGTGATAAGACCTTTAGGCAGAGTTATTTAGATTAGTTACATATGTACTAGCTATCCTACTGCCTTATATATTAATATCTTGCTTAGTTTTACTACCTAGCTACCCTTTTATAACTTAGCTATAAAGATTTATTATTACTACTACCTATTTCTTATTAACTTTATATTCTCTAAATACTAGGCTAAAAAGGCTATTTACTTATATAACTTCTTATTATTCTTTTTTTACTAAGAATACTAGACTAGCTTTTAATTTATTACTAAGATAAGGTTAAAATCTAGCTTTAACGTAGTTAATTTACCTCTTATATAGACTTATTTTTACTTCTAGGTAAGTAGCCTTACTTCTTACTACTTATACCTTAGCTATAGTTTTTAGTATAAGTTTAGCTAGCTAACTAGCCCTCTAGAAGTAAGGCTAACTATAATAAAATAAGCTATACTATATTTTTTAGCTTACTATAAAAGAATACTATAATCTTTAAATTAAAAATCTAGTAGTATAAATTAAAAAAAGATATCTTTTAAAGATATTAATAAGGGTATACCTTTTACTTACTAAATATTATTAAATTAAGTATCTTTATAAAGATCTTATAGTAGTATAAGACACTAAGCTTAGTTAAAATAGTAAAGTCTAGACTATATTTCTTAATAAAGGCTAAGAATAGTCTTTTACTAGAAGGTATTACCTTCTTTATAAGCTAGTATTACTTTTTAATTAATATAAGACACTTTAAGGAAAATATTATTTAAAGTTCTCTAAAGAGCTTAAGGTAAAGACCTATATACTCTTAGCCTCTAAAGACTTTATCCTTAGTATAAGCTTACCTAAAGTATAACTACTAGTTACTAATTATATCTTATATAATATTAATAAGTTAATATAAGTAACTAAGACTATTTAAGAAATAGCTTTTAATATTATTATTACTTAACTTTATATTAAAAGTAACCTAAACACTAAAGTTTTAGTATTTTTAGATAAAGTAATAAGCCTACTATACTCTTAGGGGTAAATATATTATATAAAGATACTAAAGGATAAGGTATTAGTTAATAAACTCTTTATAAAGCTTAATCTAGGCTTTCTTAAAGGCTTACTTAGTCTTAGTAAAAATAATAAGCTTTTATATTATAAGGACTTTATAATATATATAAGAAAAAGAGGCCTTATTAGCTAGTATATTAATATAAGCCTAGTCCTTATTACTAAGCTAAGCTATTACTTATATTAGTAACTAATAGGCCTTATTATTAAACTTACTACTATTACTATAAGTAAAGTCTTTATACTACTTTTACTTAGCCTTAAGTATAATATTAAAGTTAATATAGTAAATATAGAGCTATTACTAGACACTTAAGAACTACTTATTTAGTATAGTCTTTATTTACTTATTATAGTCTATAACTATAATTATAAGATAATAGACTAAGTTTTAGTCTATAAGTTAGTAAATACTAGCTAAAAAAAACTAGAAACCCTCTTGTCTTTTATTATTAATAAGGCTAAATATAGTATTATAAATAGATCTAAGGTAGGTTTATCTAGTAGCCTAAAAGAGTAAAAGTTTAAAGTAATTAGTGTTATAGGTGTTATTAAAACTAATTACTTTAGAGAATTACTTCTATATTTAAAAGTAGTAGAAAAAGGTCTAGATAAGGCTAATAAAGTAGTCTAGCTTATTATTTACCTACTTTACTATATATAAGATATCTTACTTATTAAATAGCTTAATTAAAGTAGTAGTTAGTAAATACTTACCTAGCTTCTCTTAGTTTATATAAGCTTTAGTGTTATAGATATCTTATTAAGTAAATAAGGAATCTAAGAACTACTTCTAAATAATAGTATATATATTATATACCTAGATACTAACTTATAGGTTTACTATATTAATTATATTTATTATAGGCTAAGTAAGCCTATAATAAGACAAATATATAAATACCTTAAGGCTAAGGCTATAGTTATACTAACTATACTAAAGGTCTTAATAATAAGATAATAACTATTACCCTTTTTTATAAGCTTATATAATTATTTACTATTTATACTTATTCTTTTAAGACTTATACTATCATATACTAGTACTTTTACTAGGCCTAGGCTTCTTAAACTAATTATATTAAAAGGTATATTACTTTAATTAGTCTTAGGCTTTATATTTATACTACTTTATAATACTAAACCTATTTTCTCTTATAAAAGTATTAACTTAATTAAAGAGGGCTTTAAGTATTTACTCTAGGTTACTAAGGATTAGTAGGTTTAGTATATTAGGTATAGTAAAAGAGGAGAATTAGTTACTTTAGGTATAGTATAAGGCTATAGTTTAAAAAAATACTTTACTTTAAGGAGAAGATTATTATTAAAGTAAATAAGGTAATAAATTACCTTAAAGGCCTTATTATTCTAGCTATTAAAAGATAAAGTCTTATTATTTAAGGAGTACTATTATAAGTTAGTAATTAGTCTTAAGAGCTATTTAAGTACACCCTAGAGCCTATTAAGTTATCTCTAGAGCCTCTTTAATAAGGTTAAAAGTAGTATTAAACTACTATATAGTAAAATAAAGAGGTTACTAAGACTATTTATTTAGAAAGAAAAGGCTAGGCTCTAGAGAAAGTTATAAAAAAGTAGTTTACTAGGTCTTTTTTATTTTTATAAGAAAGTAGTATATAAGGTAAAGTGTTAGCTTTATACTAAAGTAATATAGTTTATAGTATAAAAGAGGTTATATATTATATAAGATATTAGCTAGAACCTTAGTAATAAAGTTATATTACCCCTAAAGGTCTTTAACTTTATAGGATTAGCTAACGCTAAGATAGCTAGCCTCTAAGAAGAAAAATAATAAGGGGTTACTAGATAATAGTAGTAGTTCTTAGTAATTAGTTACTTATAGGTCTTAAAAGATATAGCCTATACTAAGAGAGTAAATAGATTAAGTTTTATATAATAGGATACTTTATAAAGCTATAGTAGTAAGTAAGTAGTAAAAATAAAACTAAGTTTTAATTAATTAAGTAGTAAAGAGGGTAAAAAAGAGGAGTTATATTATATAGGTCTAGTCAGAGTATTAAAAAAATACAATACAAATACGATACAAATACAATACATGTATTTGTATTTTTTTTCTAGTACGATACAATACATGTATTTGTATTGTATTTTTTCCTATACACGATACAATACAAATACAAATACATGTATTGTATTTTGTATATTATACAAAATACAAAGAAAAAATACAAGATTAATTCTTTTTATATATATTTATATAGTAGTCTAATAATATATAAGTAAAAGTATATTAGTAGGTTTATATATATATTTATATATTAAAAAAAATATTTTATTAATACTAATACTATTACTTCTTTATATATATATAAAAGTAGTTATATTACTATTTACTCTTAGTTACTTAGTCACTAATACTAAGACGCTTTAGATTATTACTATAAAGAGTATTTAGAATAATATTAGTAATATAATATTACTTTACTTCTTTAATATTATAGTTTAAAACCTTATCTATATTACTTTTTTATTAGTTATAGTAGTTATAACTAATACTATACTTTATAGTATCCTTAATAGTATTCTATTATATAATATACTAGTATAAGTAATAGTTTAACTTTAATTAAATATAATATACTATATTAATATTATTACTATTATATATATAGAAAGTAATTATATTATTATTTACTATTAGTTATATAGTTATTACTTTTAAGACTTTTAACTTTAATATTATAAAGTAATTAGGATAATATAAGTAGTATAATATTTTTTACTTCTTTAATATAATAAGTAAAACCTTTATTTTAATCTATATTACTTTTTTTTAGTTATAGTAATTATAACTAATACTATATTCTATAGTATTACTAATAATATTTTATTATATAATATATTAGTATAAGTTATAGACTAAGTTTAGTAATAATAATAACTATTACATTAGTTACTTTAAAGTCTTAATAAGTACTATATTCTTTACTATTTATTAATTACTATATTAAAGTATAATTAAATATATAAAATAATAGTTAATTATTATAATATCTTTATCTTATATTATAATATTATATTATATAGTATAAGAATAAAATATTTAAAAGTATTTATATTTTACTATTTTTATATATTCTTCTAAAAAGAAAGACTATAACTAGAGAAAAAACTAATTTTAGGTTAGTAATAAGTATAATTTACTAGTAATATAGTAGTATTAATAATTATAATAAAACCTTAAGAATTAAAAAGTAAAAAGCTATAAATCTAAAGATCTTAAGTATTATAGTATTTATAATTTAATCTACTTTACTAAGTATAATTAAATAGTGTAATTAGATATAAAAATTATATATTATACTTATAAGCTATAGCTTATAAGTTATACTTTATAAAGTATAGAACCTAAAGTATATTATAAATTATATATAGTTATATTATATATAATATACTACTATAAATAAGTTATAGTAAAGTTCTTTATAAAATTAAAGTTATAATTTTATAAAGTTATATAGCTTGTATCTATAATATATATTTATTAGTTATCTAAAGTATATTATAATATATAAATATATAATATAATATACTAATTAAAGAAAGAAGTACTTAGAAAAGAAGTCTTATAGTTATATATAGTATATAACACTTAAGAGAATTAATATATATTTTAAGTATTAACTATATAAATATTAATTAAGTTTATAATATTAATATATATAAATATATTATATAAATAACTTATAAATTATTATTATCTTTATATAACTATAGACTATATAATTATTTACTATACTTATAATAAATAAACTTATTTATAACTATAAACTATAGCTTATATAAGTATACTTTTATACTTTTATACTTATTATTTTTAGTTATAGACTATGGTAATACTTTAAAGTTATACTCTATAGTTATAGTCTATAGTTATAGATTATAGTTATATTTTATAGTTATTATTTATTAAACTTTATAAGTATACTTTATAGTTATACTTTATAGTTATAGTTTATATAAATAGTTTATAGGTATAGTATATAGTTATATCTTCTAGAAATAGCTTATACTAATAGTTATAGTATATATTTATATTCTATAGTTATAATATATAATTAATATACTTATTTATAAGGTATTTACTTATAGTAAGACAAGTATATATACTATTTAGAGTAGTAAAAAATAGTCTATTTTTACTTTTCTCTTAATTATTTATATAATCTTTACTTCTACTTATATTTTACTTAGTATATAAGACTATATACTATATTAGTTATAATAAACTATATTAATACTACTATTATTAGTTATTTTATAGTTAGTTATAATTTAGTTATTTATTATATTATAAGTTATTTTAAAGTTACTTATTATATAGTTAGTTAAATTATTAATAGTTATATTATAGTTAGTTATTATATAAATAGTTATACTTTAGTTAGTTACTATAAAGTAAGTTATAATATTATTACTTATTATATAGATAGTTATTTATAATAACTTTAGTATAGTTAAATATATTAATAAATTATACTTATTATACTATATATTAATTAACTTAGTATTAACTTATATTTATTATATATATAGTTCTTAATAGTTATTACTAAATCTTAGTTTTAAAGTATATAATATTTTAAGTAAAATATATAAATAATACTATACTATAAGTAAAAATTAAGTAATATTATATATAATTAATTTACTAATTTTAATTATTTTTATTTTTTATATTGTATAGTTGTATATTATACAAAATACAATACAGATACAATACAATACAAATACAAATACATGTATTGTCTTTCCTATACGATACAATACAAATACATGTATTGTATTTGTATTGTATTGTATTGTATTTGTATTGTATTTTTGTATTGTATTGTATTTTGTATTTTTTTTAAACTCTCTGGACCCCCTAGATAAGCGTAGGCTATTAAAGGTAGTCTAAAGATAATAAAGTAACTATAGCTTACTCTTTAACTTAAAGTTTATATTCTTAAGGTTAAGAGTACTCTTATAGTAGATTTAACTAATAATATAGTATAAGACCTAGATAGTAGTCTTTATCTTTAGCCTCTTACTATAAAAGAGGCACTTAAGGTTAATAAATATAAGGTTAAGTATTATCTATATTACCTAGTATACCTTTTAATATATAGTGTTATTTATAGTCCTAAGGAGGCTAATTATATAATAGTAGGACTTATTACTACTATTACTAATATAGAATATAGCTTTAATAGCTTCTTATATATATTTATTAGTAGTTATTACTACTAGATAATTCTAGTTATTTAGCCTAAGATACTATACCTTATTAAAAGGCAAGGCCTTTAGTATTACTAGTGCTATCTTAAGTAGTAAAAGCTAAAAGTTATTAATCTATAGGCTAGCTATTTACTTAAATATTAAGATATTAAATATCTCTAGGCCTAGGTAAGTCTTATACTAGTATATAGTAAGTGTCCTTTATTACTTATAGTTTTATAATATTATAAGCTAGTATATAAGAAAGCTTTTTTTACTACTAAAGTATAAGGCCTTTACTAGCTTATAGTTAACTATAGTAGCTTAGTTATATATAGTAAGCTTTACTACCTTTAATATAATAAATATAAGCTATATTTAGATTTACCTATAGTTATTAAGTAAGTTTAGGTCTTATTAGTTAATATATAGCTTAATATTTAGGTTAGCTAGTAATTAGTCTATTAGTATACTTAGTTAGTCTATCTCTCTATATTATAAGTACTAGGTTACTTTATCTCTTTATAAGAGAGAGTAAAAGATAAGTAGTCTAGGTAGTAATAAACCTTTATTATATAGCTTATATATTTACTAGGTGTCTAATACTAAGGCACCTATTACTTTAATATACTTTTAGAGAGTATAAAGCTAGTGTTAACCTACTATAACCTCTGCCTTTATATTATTAACGCTAGCCTTAGTAAAAGAATAAAGCTTCTTTATTACTACTATTATTATCTATATAGCTATTACTGCCTTCTTATATACTTTACTAGATATAATAAACCTCTTTAGTACTATAAAGGATAGCTATATAGTTTTTAAGGGCACTATACTTAAGTCTACCTTTTATAAAGGCGTCCTTTAGCTTCTAGATATAGCCTAGTTTAATATAATAGTTTTCTACTAGTACTTTATATTATCTCTAGTATATTAGTGTATATTTTCTTAATAGCTAGTAGGTAAGGCCTTATATATTCTTAGACTAATTTACCTTCTTAGAAAGGTTTATCCTTTATATATTATCTAAGGCCTAGGTAAACTACTATACTATCTTTGTTATTACTATACTTTTGTTTTATATTACTTATAGTCTTAATATAGGTAAAAGAATATAAATACTTACTATTATAGAGAATAAGCCTTATAAATAAAAGCTATATATAGTAAAGAAAGAAAGTAATACTTAGATAAGTATAAGTATTATACTAGTCTAATAGTATTTACTATTATTATCTTCTCTTGTATTCTTAACTATAGAGGTAATTAGTAGTTAATAAGTTATTAATATTACTTTTCTAGTTTTTAGCTATAACTATTTAAGGTATATAGTATATATTTCTTTATATACTTATCTCCCTTTGCCTTAGTGTTACCTTATAACTCTATATACCTTTACTTATAGGCTTCTATATTATACCTTTTACTACTTTTTATACTACCTCTTATAGGTAGCCTTATTTTATTTACTTTATCTAGTAGCTTTATATATAGACTTAACTTTAGTATACTACTTAGTAATTTCTTACTACTTAGAACTATAATTTTCTTCTTTTTTACTTTACTTAGGCTAAGTTAGCTATATATACTTATACTTTTACCTTAATTTAATAGTACTATATATAAGCCCCTAGAGACTTATATAAGATAAATATACTATAGCTAGATCTATAGGTAGTATAGGTTATTATTAATTCTACTATACTATTTTATTAATATACTATATATATATAAACCCCCTTTTACTAAGGATATTTAGTTACCCTCTAGGTTATATTATATTCTTTTATACTTTATTTACCTTTACTAGGACACTAGGCTATAAGGCCTTCCTAAGGTAGCTATAGGTTAGTATATAATAGCCTAGATAAATAGTAGGTGCCTTTATTTACCTTTTTACCTATATACTTATAATAGCACTAGGCTAAGCTAGGCCTTAATTTCTTTTAGTAAATATAATATAAATTATAAAAAAAAAGACTAATTTATTTTATGTAAGACAAGTTAGCCTAATAGGTATATATAAATATAGTACTAGTAGGTAGTATATAGTTTTATTTTTACTTATTACTTTATCTTTTTCTCTTTTTACTTTACTATAGGTACCTATAGTAGGCTAGTACTTATTAGCTTACTAGTAGTCTATATATCTAAGCTATAAGATATATTATTTTTTTTATATAATTTAAATACTAATATATATTATATAGTTATATTATAGGTTAACTTCTTTTATAGTTTTATATTATTTTATTAAACCTTAGCTAAATAAGTACTTTTTTTAGTCTTTTGTCTTTATCTAAAGTAGCTACTACTTTTTTTTACTTATAATATTTATAGTACCTAGTATAAGTATATCTAAAGACTTCTGTCTTTACTAATATACTTTATAGCTAATATACCTACTATTATTTACTACCTTTATTACTACTCCTTTATTACTAATAAGGCTCTAAAGTAAAGTCTTACTAATTATATAATAAATCTACCTACCTTATTAAGCTATATACTAGGACAAAGCTAGCCTTATATAGTATAAGTAAGTATACTATAGTGTCTTACTACTACTTATAGCCTAGCTACCTTTATATTTTATTTTTTTTATTTGCCTTTTTAGCCTATAAAAGTAGCTACTTTTCTACTTAGGTCTATTCTATAGGCTTAAGATAATTTACTTATACTACTTAGGTATAATAATCTTTTTAACTTTAAGCTATATAACTTTATCTATATATACTTTACTATAGCTTACTATATAGGTTATAAATATTATTATATAAAATATATATATTATTATACTAGCTATTTATTATCTTCTTTTATCTCTAGAGGATTAATTTTTTTACTTAGTTATATAAAGCTCTCTTGTTTTTACTATAACTTTATAATAATTACTACTTAGGCTACTAACTATATAATCTTATTTACCCTTTTTACT